GAACACTGGCAATCAAGATAAAGAGGAGCAACAACAACAAGAATTGCAACTCACAAGGAAAAATACCGAACCTCACAATAACTGTGTCTATATGAGAAGCATAGTTAATATTGACCCAGCTCCAAGTCAAGTTGACATCCGGCATTTTACTACCTAGCCAACCAACCAAGCCAGACCACCTTGCTTCCGCAATCTCATACAGATGGTGACGTGGAACGTGGCTGGCTGGAAAGGAATGGTTAATAGTGGACTAATGAACTTTAGATTTGATGTAATAGCCATTCAGGAAACCTGGTTAACTGAAAGTGGACGAACCAGGACAACTGCCAGGCTTTCAGGGATGGGCCTCCCCAGCCCAAAAAACAAAGGGAGATCCTCTGGCAGGTTATGCATTTTTATAAAGCAAGAATTGCAATGGCAGGGGAAGAAACTATACAATGAAGACAAGTATTTGTATTTCTTAGCTGTTAAATTTGGATATGAAGAGTTCGAGTTAATAGTGGTAAATGTGTATATCCCTCTAAACACATCCCGGTATATTACAACTCCAAATACTGGATAAATTTGGAAGTTATCCTAGATCTAGACGATACATCTGTATTGTACCCTCAGTCCATAGTGGTATTACTAGGAGATTTAAACGCTAGATTGGGCCCTTCTTTGTATGAGTTCACCCAGAAAAAGGGAGTCCCAGGGCAGTTTTTCTATAACCATCCTCAGTGGCTCTCGAGAGACCGCAACGCTGCTGGCCTGCTTCTAATTTCCTTAATTTTTAAGGGTAATCTCCAAATCCTGGGAGGTAAGGATAAGAATTATACGTATCATTACACATACACTTGGCCCATTCAAGCAGTGTACTGGATCTCTTTTGTGTGTCTAAAGATAAAGTCGACCTCTTCTCGGAGGTTATGGTACACTTCAGTGACAATAGCGATCATCAGCCTGTAAGCGTGACATTGCGAGCGAGCTCAGATTCAAGACCATATAACATGGCTGACAGATGGCTCTCCAAAAAGGTAGAGGTGACCCAAAATAAAAGGTTAATGTGGGCTAAAGTTGATACTAAGACAATATCTCTGTCTTAAAGAAGAGAATGCTACCAACTGGGTTACAATCCAGTCTACTACTAACTGGCCGCCAGCCTTCGACACATTCTTTAATCTTTGTAATATCCTGAAGAAACACTTAACAACTAAATCTGCTACCAAAAGAGCTCGAGTGGGTAGATCCAGTTGGTTTGATTCTGAATGCCAGCGGCTGAAAAAGAAATTGAGGGCAGCCATGAGGCTTGCCCAGAGGAATCCTACTGCTCATATACAAGCTGAGATGTTGCACACAAGAAGAGAATACAAAAAAAATATAAAATTAAAGAAAAAAAGCTTCACCACCTTAATTTGGGCAGAACTTGAATTGGCCGCTAAAAGTCATAACTCAGCAATATTGTGGCATTCAGTAGCAGGAGTTCTAAAGGAACAGAGATTTGCATTGATAAGCCAATCTCTGCTGAAGAATGGGAAAACTACTATGTAAGTCTGTTTGCCTCTCTATGTAGAGAAACTGCCTCTAAGCAGTGAACAAGCACCCCCTAAAACCCTTCCCCCTTGGGGGCCAGTCTCTGTAAAAGAGATACAATCTATTATTAAATGTCTAAAGAGCAATAAATCTCAAATGTGGCCAAGAATGAACATTTCGCTTGTAGCCAGCCCAGATGCTAGATCGGCCCCCTGCAAACTCTCATCTCTCGAGGAGCGCTCACTGAAGCGGCACAGGAAACTTCGGCCGGACTCCTTGAGAGATGAGAGTTTGCAAGGGACCGATCTAGTGTCTGCAATGGACACCAAAGGTAGGGTTGACTCTGGCTGCTTCTCTCTGCTGTAGTGCTTCCCGGACATGGTTTACCACTCCAAGCTCCAAGCGGCAGGAGATGAAGGCTGCCTTGGGGCCGCCAGCTGGCGCAAATATACCGCGGTGAAGACGGAATGCTGATGCCGCGCAAATGCAAGTAGCGCTTCGCTCCCACGCTTTCCCGCCATTGCCACCGCCGCTTTGCCCTGCTTCCCCCCCCCCCCCGCAACAGCACCATTACCTCATTCTGGCTGGTGAGGGCTGCTCTCCTTTTTGCATGTTGCACCACCTGCAAAGTTGTACATTGCACGTGCCACCCCCACCCCCATGGTGGAGATTTCCAGGCCCCCCAACGGGCAGGCCAGTGAACTCGGGTGGAGGAGCTGCTCTAGGATGACCAAAGGGCCAGTCCTATGACTACTACAGCTCTGGAATATGAGACTGACTTTCCCACCAACGTCGGCAAGCTACCGTCAGTCTGCCCATCTTTGTTTTCCTTAACTCAGATTGACCAAGCTTCTTGAGAGAAGGAACACAAAAGAGGTTTCCATGCTAGGTGACTGGACCAGGCACTTTCTCTTGGGCCTCCCACCCAGAGGCCTCGCAGAAGCAGACAGGTAAGCCTGAAAGGCGGCTGAGAATTCCCCCCACAGTGGTCCGTGGGATTTAAAATTATGAATTTGGTGGACCCTGAGGTCCAAAAGGTTGGAGACCCCTGCTCTGGATTACTAAATTGACAAATTATATAAAGAGCTGTGGCCTCCCTGCCCTCTGTGTAACAGGAGAACAAAAAAGAGTTGCCCAAAGAATCATGGATATAGAAGCTCAAAGCGACATATCCACACTTAGTAAGGCTGGTAGCCTGAAATGGCAGAGCAAATATAAATGCACCTTCTAAATGGACAACTATTTAAAGTCACAACTGCCAAAACATCTCAGGGAGATATTTACTTGAGCAAGATTCAAACAGCTTGATGGTTAGATTTGGGAGATTCCATTCTATCCCATATAATGAACGTACATATATTTGTGGAGCTGAAGAAGTAGAAGATCTGACTCATATATTATTTGATTGCTGTTTATATAAGGGGGCGAGAGATAAGTACCTTGATCCACATATTAAACATATGGTCCAGTGGGAGGCCCATATTAAAACAACATACCTCATGTGTGGCCAGAATTTGAAAATGACATTGAATACAGCACAATATCTGACTAAAATGGTCCAATGCAGGTGTGAGGGGCAGCTCTCTGCTTCGTCTTCACCCTTCACCACCCTCGCTTTGTGGCCGCCACATCAGTGCATTGCTCAGTATCCTGCTAGGTTATGGCAGCGAGCAACAAGTGGCAAAGAATGAAGTGAGGCAATAGGAGGGGGGTGGAGGATAAAGCAAGGCATGGGGTGCGGAGCAGCCCCACCCACCTCGGCTTACCTGAGGGCCCTTCAGCCAGGCCAAACCCTCACCCCCCCCCCCCAGGGCAGCCACAACCCTTTTACTAACCTGCTTTCCAGCTCTATTCTCCATCACTGCGTGCAGGGCAAATAAGTAGTCTGTGGGACTACGGTAAAAAAAATAGTTCCAACCTCGCAAGATTTTTTTTTTATGAGAAGTTGGAAGGTCTGGACTATTTTTTTTCCCCGTAGTCCCACAAACTACTTTAGTTGCCCTGCATGCACCAATGGAGAACTGGGCCTGTGCGCGTGCATGCACACCGGGATGGCGTGGGCCGGGCTGAAGTGACATGGGCCAGACCCGTTTCCAGGATGGCCTGTAGGCTGGATCCGGCCCGCGGGCCTTAAGTTTGACACCCCTGCTTTAGGCTAATCAATCAATCAATAATAATAATAGTTCACAGTTTGATTCAGATGACACTTGATATATCAGCAAAATTATTTTCCAAGTTTATTAAAATAAATACTCAAATGATATTTTATTTTTTGCTCTCTCCTAGGCCAGATCTCCTCTGCATTAACAATGACCACAGTTGGAGAGGAACAAGCATTTTCTTTGTTGTCAGTTGGTAGGTTTAACCTTATAAGTCACTTTGGGAAGATTTACAATCTGGAAATATCAAATACAAATAATATTATACAATTATAATAAATAATATCAACACCACATACTACAATTCTGCATTAAGTTCTCAACTTCCATTTTGGAACTTTGCAGATCTCATGGTTGAATTACATGCTCTAAAATTTTGGATCTTTCCACCTTTTCCCATTTTTTTCCTCCCCCATTTTGCTTTTTGAAGAATTCTGTCAAATGAGAAAGTGTGTGTAGGTGTATACGTATTTCTATAACCATACGGATATAGTTTCGTAGCATTTTGGTCAGTCACTATAGTGGAGTTACTTAAGATAGGGCAATATATTTTCAAGGTCAGAATTACAACTTACCACGCAGTAAACTTTAAGGAAATATGTTAAGGCTCATTTGTTTGAGGAGAATGCACACTAAATACCTAGAGCGATTTCTCTGAAACCGCTCACTAGAAAAATACATTCTCACGACTAGGGAGCCGAGGGGGGGGGGGGACTTACTGTCTAAGGCAATCTTCAGCATCGACTGGCACCTATACTGGGAACCAAACAAGCTGGAGATGATTTTTCCCTTCAACGCGGGCTTCTTCCCCTGGCCAAGAGTTCGCTCGGGAAAGCGACTGTAGCCAAAGTCGTCCTCCTGCTCTTCGCCAGAGTCGCGACTCTCCGGTTGCGAAGTCTGCTCAGATGTCATCGTTCATACAAGCGCGGGCGATGGAGCAAAGTGACCTTTGTTCACATGGCCTCCCCGGCTACCGTACCCGTCCCTCGAATCCAGGCAAAGGCCACCTTCTGCCGAAACCATAGAGGTTCGCCACGCGTGTTTCCTGCTGCCTGTCTGGGGTGATTCATCGTAGGTAAGCTAAATGAGATGGGGTCCATAGAGCTCTTTCTTTATGCCTCTTTTCTAAACCATCTATAGACAAATAAATTATAATTCTCTTGCCTCGGCAACTTTTTAATTCTGTATCCATGAAGCGGGGTAGTGGAAGCGCGGCAGTCATGCGCATTCTGTGTAGGGAGAACGACACTCATGCACCAGAACGCGCATGCGGAGAGGTGGGCGAGCGGAGCTGTCGACGCTCTTTCTCATTTTCTCTTTCTGCCTAACTTGGACTATAGAAGTTGGAAGTCTTTTCCGCTAGAGCGGCTACCAAGACAACTCACTTCCCTTCGTTTGGCGCGCTGGGTGTTGTGGAAAAGGAAAGCGAGAAGGGCTTCGGAGCAGCAGAAGAGTGAGAGGAGTTTGCAGTCGCAGAGGTTGGGGCCGCCCCGCTACTGTTCCCAGGCAGGGCTGGGGGAAAAAAAGCAAAGAAAGCGCATTGAGGTTGGGCTGATGGCTTGTTTCTTGGGTGCTTATGAAAAACCGGGAACATCGAGCCTTGTTTGCCTTTCTGGCGCAGTCGGAGAAATTGACGTCCTCCCTTCTTTTTGGAGGGTGACGTTCAGCATTCACAGGCCGCACCCAGGACGATTCTTTTTCACTGGGGGAATACTGTAATAATGCATCAGGGTTGCTTCCCCGCCTCGTTCGCCCCCCCCCCACCGCGTCCCTTCATGCCCACCATACACAGATATCTTTTTTTAAAAAAACCCTGTCCTTTAAAACCTGTTCCCGCCAAAATGATGGGCTTTCTGAGGCCACAGAATATGAATGAATATGTACAGAAATAAAGCATGCTTATCTGACTTGTGTATAAAAATAAGTTGCACCCGTCATTTGTTCAAATTATTTCTCATTTTAGTGAAAAATTAAAAAGTGGATTAGTTGTTCCATATCAGTTAAAAAAAAGTGCAAAGGTGCTTGCATGGGCAGAATTTGTGCTTCTGGTTTGATTCCTGCCTTAGTGGCTGATTTATTTTCAGGTGAACTGGAAACCTGATTAGCTGTGGTAGGACAGTTGTCAGAGAAACTGCAGAACTTTAACTAGGCCCAGCTGGTTGGCAGGACATCACTTTCTAGTACCAGGGTTCTTCATAAGATGCTAAGATGTTTGCTTACATCAGATTTAATTTATCCAAAGGGGAAGTGCAGTGCGGCAATTGTCCTTCAAAGAGACTTTGAACCTGGATGATTTCAATTTGCTTGTGTTATTTTACACCTAAGTATTATTGTAATAATCACTGGTAAGCTAATTTTTCCACAGTAAGCACATGTGATTTACGTAATACTATGCCAAAAAAGAGGGTTTTTTTAAGCTAAAATATGTTTATGATTCTTACAGACCTATCTGTTTTCCAATGCATTCTTTCATCAGATGAGTTCACCAAATAAAGCAATTGAGTTACAGTTGCAAATACGACAAAATGCTGAAGAACTTCAAGATTTTGTGAAAGATTTGGAATCATGGGAGAAGGATATTAAAGAAAAAGATCATGATCTAAGGCATCAGAGTGGCACTGCCGAAAAAGTAAGACTGGTGTTTTGATAATGGGATGAATAATGACAGCTTGAAATGCAGTCTGTTAACTAGATCATCTAATTACAAATAGAGTTACAAATAAAACACCTATATAGTTAACTTAGGATTCGGTTATATTGCTTCTGTGCCAAAGACTTAGGCGTAATGGACAGATGGGCTTTCTTGCTATAGGTCTAAGTAGAATATCATAAAATAAAAATATATTCCTTTTAAAACGCTTTAGAAATTGCTACAATTCTTCCTCACTGTTCTGCAGTGAAGAAAATCAATACTTGGGAAGGTGGAATGGGATATTTTAAATCCAAACGTTTGTCTCCATATCTTAGATGAGTACTTCAGCTAATGTAAACTATTTCAATCTGTCACTGTTAAAATCATGTGAGAAGCAAAACCTTTTCTGTTAGGACAGATTGTCAGTGTTCAATTCAAGGAAGTGGAATTGCCCTTGTTGGAAGAAATAGCCAAGTTCAGTTCCAAGCCGGGAATAAAATGGAGGCTGATTGGAAAGAAAGGTTCCCCTTATTGATGAAGCAGAACCATCAACCACATGTAATTCTGGGACAGCTGACAAAATGGAGTTTAGAGTGGGTGGGTTTTATATCTTCTGGATTCCTAAGGGGTCATGTAGGGGTCATGTCTGGCTCTATAGGCAAAAGGGGAAATGCAAATCCTAGATGTTTGTCTGAGCTAATTTTGTCAACCTTTGGCTTGATTGTGTTGCTTATCTGAAGTTTCTGCCTGACCCAGTCTTTCTGAATTGATTACCAAATCTGCATTTCTATAAGCTGGCCTCCTCCATTTCTGCTTGGGGCAGGGAAAAGGGCTGGTTTATGCCTCCCTTAAGATTTTTTTCATTTCTCCTTTAGGGGAAATATTCTATCCTGCCTTTTTAATATTCCCCAAAATACTTCATTCTTGGGGTGAGGGTGTCCCACACCCTGTTAGAATTAGAATGAATGAGCTGGAAGGGAACTTGGAGGTCTTCTAATCCATCCCCCTGGTCAAGCAGGAGAACCTATAAGTGATTGTCTAGACCAGGGGTCGGCAACCTTAAACACTCAAAGAGCCACTTGGACTGGTTTCCTACAAAAAAAAAAACAACGCCGGAAGCCACAAAACCTGGGTGGGCGTGGCCAATTCGATGTCACTCACTCCCACCCAGTCACATGACCCCTAGCCATGCCTACCCAGCCACAAAACCATTCTCTATGTCTCTCTCCCTCTCTCCCCCTCTCTCCCCCCTTTCTTTCTCTCTGTGTCTCTGTCCCTCTCCCTATCTTCCCCTCTTTTTCCCCCCTCTGTGTCTCTCTCCCTCTGTATCTCTCTCTCTCTCCTTCTATGTATCACTCTGTGTGTGTCTATGTCTCTATCTCTCTCTCTCTCTGTAAGTGTGTGTGCGTGTGTGTCTCTCTCCCTCCCCCCTCCAGGTGACCGTCCTCCTCCTCCCCCTCTCCTCTGGCTGGCTGCGGCTGAGCCAGAAGCATGTGCACATGTGTGTTGTGGCCCCGCCCTCTGAGCCTGTCCCATTGGAGGAAGAAAGCTCCGAGCATGAGGAAGAGGAGTCAGCCAGGCCTCCCGCTCCAGGCCCCTCCCCTCTGGCACTGTCTCAGGTGCCGGCCGAGGGAGAGGAGATTAGCAGGGAGACAGGTGGCTCGGATGAGAGCGAGGGAGAGACATCATTCCTGGACGCACGCCTCCGAAGGAGTGATAAACGCAGCAGCTCAGGAGGCGTGCTAGGGATTAGAACTGAGTCACTGGACCACACCCCAGAGACTATATAATAGAGGGTGGTGGCCAGCAATCCCTGTGACGAACAAAAGTAAACCTTGGATAGTTACTAAAGCCTCGTCCGGAAACTGCTGAGAGGAATATTATTCTGATTGGACTTTTGTACGCTAAGTATCTTATCTTTCTGTTTTGTGGAAATAAATGCACTTGGCAGACGGTGTGTAAATCGCTGCCAAGTTGGAGATAAAGACCTGGGTGTGTGTCAAAGTGTTTCCTTAACCCTCGGCTGGCTGTGTTTGTGTGTGTGTGTGGACGGGGACAGATCAACGTGGGGAGACCCTTCTCAAGCAAGCGCCAAAGCTCAGGAAAGGCGCACGCAGGGCGGGACGCAGCTTGCTTAAGGAGGGCCTCCCTGCCCAGTGTGCATGCACACTGTACTCCTGCCCTCAGCCACAGCTGGCCAGGGGGTCATGAGAGGAGGAGGGGTGAGGAGAGTGCAAGAGCGAAGTGGCGCTGTACCTGCCTTCGCGCCACTTTTTTTTTTTTTAATTTGATTTATATGCCACCCTTCTCCAGAGACTCAGGGCGGCTTACAATGCGTTAAGCAATAGCCTTCCTACTTTTGTATATTTATACAAAATCAGCTTATTGCCTCCACAAGCTGGGTCCTCAATTTACCTACCTTAGAAAGGATGGAAGGCTGAGTCAACCTTGAGCCTGGGGAGATTTGAAATTGCAGTAATTGCAGGCAGCTGAATGTTAATAACAGGCTATTAGTCTGCTGTGCCACCAGGCTGCCTTCGCTTCCTGCCATTTCGGGCTAGAGTCCAAAAAATAAGAGGGGTGAGGGGCAGAGCTAACCAGTGATGGGAAAGGGAGCCACGGCAGAGGGCCCAAAGAGCTCCTTGCGGCTCCAGAGCCGCGGGTTGCCGACCCCTGGTCTAGATTCTTCTTAAAAACATCCAGTGATGGAGTGCCCACAATTTCTGGAGGCAATTGGTTATTTGTCCTCACTGTTAGGAAGTTTCTCCTTAATTCCAGGTTGCTTATCTCTTTGATTAGTTTCCAACCATTGTTTCTTGTCCAGTGCTCCAGGGCCCTTCAGAAGCCCTCCAGTGCTTTGGAGAATAATTTGACCCCCTCTTCTTTGTGGCAACCCCTCAAGTACCGGAATACTGTTATCATGTCACCCCTAATTCTTCTTTTCTTTAGACTAGCCAAACCCAAATTCTGCAGCCGTTCTTCATATGTTTTAGTCTCCAGGCCTTTGATCATCTTAGTTGCTCTTCTCTGAACTTTTTTCAAAGTCTCAACATCTTTTTTGTAGTATGGTGACCAAAATTAGTTGCAGTATTCCAGGTGTGGACTTACTAGGGTTTTATAAAGCAGTAGTAATTCTTCACGTGATCTTGATTCTATGCGTCTGTTTATTCAAGTTCTACCGTTTTCTATTAAATCATTGGTTTGGGATTTTCTGTTGAAGTGTTTGGAAGACTTTATGGTTTTCCCCTTGGAGAACCACTTTCCAGTGGCTAATGTTTTGGACCCTTGTCTTTTAGAAAAAAGCTAGCATTGATTTTATACTACTGCATTCCTGTTTTATAAATGGATGTCATATATTATTGTCAAAAGTTTTCTCAAAGTATACTGCTACATTTTCTGTTATTAGGATTTACCCCCAATTCGGAATGAAGCTTACAAAAAAAAGGAAGAGCAAAGTTAAAACAGACTCAAAACAAACAAGTGAGGAAAACAAAAAGAACAAGATAAAATCTTATGATTATGAGGCTTGGGCAAAGCTGGATGTGGTATGAGAATATTTTTTATTAAATATGTTTATCAAAATGCTAGGCAAGATTTCGTGACATTTATACACATAACTATAAATTACTAGTTTTCATGTTGTAAATAATGTTGGTAACTGTACTAAAGATACCAGTCTTAAGTGTTGTAGTATTTCATTAAAACTGGTATCCAAAATTTAAAAAAAATGCTTATTTTATAAAAAGTATAGTTGACACTATTGTGTAGCATGCATTAATTTTGTTTTAATGCTTAAACACTACTTTAAAGTTTGGGTGTTGATTTTATTTAGCTGTTGTACATAACCTTGATGCTGTCATGAAAAGACACTATATAAATATGACAATATTTTACACACACTTTTAATATAAAAAAAACAGCAGACATAGGAAGAAGATGTTTATACTTCTAGAAATTATGAAGAAATTTATTTCCTTCATTAGATAGGAGTTTGATGGAGTAGTTGGAAATAGTATCGAAAGGCTATGATTCTGCCATTGATACAAATATTTCTATATAGTACCAGTATTAGTATTAAATTTATATGCTGCCCTTCCCACTATCAAGCGACTATATAAACTTTATATAACTGCAGGGTTCTCTTTATGTATCATATATTTACTTAGATTGCTTTGTTGTTGGATTATATACTCATTCTTTAAATTTGTTTTGCCTTTGTAAGATTTACATTTGTCTTTTCAGGATAAGATACTTGAAGAATTTGATAAGGAAGATACCACTCATGATTCAGTGTCAGATTCTGAGGAAGATGTAATTCACATTTATACAGAAAAAGCTCTTGCTGAGAAAGAAAAGGTTATTTTTCATGTTTTAATAGACCCACATTTTTTCTTCTAATGCTCACTAAGGAACAGGATAAATTAACCTATATAAAAATTTGTATTCTCAAACTCTAGTTGAGAACATTTTTTTCTTTATATTATGCCTTTATTATTTGTATAAATAATTCAAGGCATACTCAACATACCTTCCTCCTATTTTTCCACAACCATGTGAGGTGGATTGGGTTGAGAGAGAGTGACTGGCCCAAAGTCACCTACCTTGCTTTCATGGCTAAAGTGGGACTTGAACTCATAGTCTCCCACTTTCTAGCCTGATGCCTTAACCACTAGACCAAACTAGCTCTTAAGTTTCAAGTTCTTATATTGTTTAGTTATATGAATTTTGAAACCAAGTCTGGATTTTAGTAAAACCAAGAATATGTCTTGCTGTTCTTCAGTTTTTCATAAGATTTTTGTTCATATTGTAATTTGATTGCCTATTCATCTTATGATTTTTTCATAAGATTTCAAAATTGTCAATAAATAGTGTTCTAAATCAAATTACAGAATGCTTTGAAGAACTTTTGTCTTTAGAATATATTACAATGCAATAGTGACCATGATTTAATATCCCTATATATCTATGTCTTCTTTCTGTTTCTCTTCTACCATGGGTTTTGTAGATCCTGAAATTTATGTTCTTGAAACTCTAAAAAAAATCCTTCTTGGATATATCTAGGTAATTATTAAATGATTGATATGTCTTTATTGCCATCTGATCTACCTGCTAGAACAGAGGTGTCAAACTCTTTATTTCATTGAGGGCCACATCAGGGTTGTGGTTGACCTCGGGCCAGGTGGGCCTGGCTGGGGTGGGCATGGCCAGCTTAACATAGTTTGTTTCGTGGGCACCTGTGGTGCCTGGGTGAGACTGGGAGGATCCATTGTCTCCAGAGGAGGAAGGCGAGACCAAGGTGAGTGTCAAAACTTTATCTTGGGCCACACAGAGAACCCCTGGATCGTGGTGCAGGCTGCCCGGAGCCCTAGGCAGTGGAGTGCAAGTACCCAGCCCAGCCCTCGAGCTCCCAAGGCACCGGAATCCCAAGGGGGTACCCGATTCCGCTTACCTCCTCGAGGCTGCTGCTGCTATACTCACTCTACTTGGCCAAGTTGCTCATCATGTGTGCAGGAGGGCAAAGTTTGTGGATCAGAGGGCGGCCCATTCCCTCTCCTTGCAAAGAGACCCGGCTTTGTAACCAAAGCATCTTCAGCTCTAGAATGGGAGACCAGCAGGAGCAAGGTGATGGCGAAAGGGCAGCAGGGCTGCTGGTGGCCAAGTGCTAAGGCAGGACTTCCCTCAGACCCTCCCTCCTTCTCATAATCTCCACCCTTCCCTCCTTCCTTCTCCTTCTTCCCCTCTTCCCCCTTTTCCTGCCTTCTCCCCCTCGTCCCATCTTTCTGTCCCTTCCTTCCCTCCCTCCCTCCCTTCCTTTCTTCTGCATTTCTCGTTAGGTTAAAGACAAGCCCTTTGTCCCTGTCACCCACTCTCCTTTCTTGCTGCGCTATCAGCTGACTAATCTGCGTGCATATTCTGATACACATAGCTGTGAAAGATTGAATCTCTGCGTTGCCATCTCCCTCCCTCCCCTCCCTCCCTTCCTTCCTTCCTGGGCAGGGGGAAAGATTGGCAGCTGTGGCTTTCCCACACAGTGGCGGGGCAGTCCCAGCAAAAGGGAAGCCTCGTAAGTTGCGAGGCCAAGCCTGTGAGCAGGGTATGGAGGCTTGTGGTGGCCATCCAGGCCAGTACATGGTCAGCTTTAGATCTGTCCCATGCGGTCACCCTGAGTGTGTGCACAGGAGGCGAGCGCTGGCATCCTGGGTGAAACGGAAGCACTCCGAATGCAGTCAGCCTGCGAGGCAAGATGGTCCTCAGGGACACCAGGTCCTGCACGCTTGTTGTTTCCTGTGCGTGCATCCAGGGGGAAGGGCAGGAGTGGTCCCTCGCTAGCTCCAGGGTGGCCCCACAGATCTAAGGGTGACCACATTCTGGCCCGGATGGCTGCCACCAGATTGTGGGCCGAGGCACCACAGGCTGCTGTTTGCTGTTTCCAGGGCAGTCCCGAGGACCAGATCTAACCACTTCGTGGGCCGGAACTGGCCTGCGGGCCTTGTGTTTGACATGTCTGTGCTAGAATAAAGCCTGAAAACTAATATGAATTCTTATGTATCTTAATGTTTTAAAAAGTAAGAATTGATAGAGTTGATAGATTGTGAAGTAGATTGGCCTTCTGTCTTTTTCCAATTTTGTATCTTGTCCTCTTTATCTTATCTCTAAAACAGTCCCATGAGTTAGGTTACAGTAAAAACGAAACAGACCAAAGATCTTTTTTGCGTGTTTTTCTTTCTTTTATAAAATATAGTTTTGTTTTTTATTCATTTATTTCAGTCATTCAATTTACACTATTTGGATACTACTAATTGAAGATAAGAATTCTTAAAGAAGTTCAGATGAAATGTCATAAAATTAGATTTATAATCACAAATTGCCATTTCAATTATGATGATATGGGAAATATAGCATTTATTTAACAAAGATTTTGAAAAACCCAGAATATTGTGGTTGAATTGGACTCTCCTGTTAAATCAAATGTAAGGATTTCCTTTATCTAGCACTTGAAAATAATTCTGTTGGTTTGAAAAACTGTGCAAGTATTGTTTCAAAGACATGAGAAAAAGAGAATAAAGGTTTGTAATATATTCATCTTTGTGTATATCTCATTTGTTTTAACAGGGCAATACTTACTTTAAACAAAGAAACTATGATGCTGCAATAGAATGCTATACAAAAGGAATGAATGCAGATCCTTACAATCCAGCTTTGCCTACAAATAGGGCATCTGCCTTTTTTTCGGCTAAAGAAGTAAGAGTTTGTTGACTTCCATCATATTTCACTTCAAATATAATTAATTGCAGATTAAAAAACTGAATTTTTACATATATTTTATTGGGATATCTTTACCACATCATTACCTGGCAAAAAAAATTCTTGCTAGTTTTAACCTTGTAATGTTTTATATACTTGTGTTATGCAACCCTATACACACACACATACACACATATACATACATACACAAGTATTATAACAAAAAACAAGACTATTTTTCCTGTTGGAGGGCAGTGCAAAATAGAGCTATCTGAAGAATACAGAATGTACTTACAAGCAAAGAAAACAAAAAACTAAAACATTTTTAAAAATATGTGCTTTAAGAAGAATTACCTCATTTCTAATGCATTTCTATTGCACATCAAATTTCACTTTAATAATGCTCAGGGAAATGCATTTTAAAATTCCCATTTTAGTAGTAAAACAATTCTGTGAAGTGAGGAAGACCAAGTGATAATGATAGGCCCCATGCATTTAATGCTTCATCTTGCTCCTGGTCCTGCCTAGAATATCACTAATTCCAATTTGTGTATTAATCAGGGAAGTTTAAATTGGTTAATCATAAATACAGACCACGTGAAATTCACCAAATTTGCTTAGATATAGTATAGTATATAGTAGTAAAGAATATGGCCAGAGCTAGACTATAGGGAAAATTAACCTTTATTTCTCCATAGAGTCACTGATTCTAAATTGATATTTTTGGAACCTTAAAAAGGATTAATATTTAGGTTTTTTTTTTCCTAGTAGGGTATTTTCCCTGGACACACTTAGATATTATGTTACAAATTTCGTCTAGGGGTTCATGTAAGCATCCTGTTTTCTCTTTAATTACTTAGGAACCTCATTTTATTTCAAATTGGGTCTATAACCTAGTTCACTATTAAAGGAATTGATTACAAACTAAATTGAAACACCAGTACCCTAACGGTGGTTGGCTGGTGTTTTCCTTCTCAAAATTGGACCGCCAATGTGAGAATATTTTTTTCACAGTCCTTCCAATGTACAGTAATAGACTATGTCTTCAACAGCCTTGATAGTTTATGAAGTTAAGAATGGGAGCTTTTTAAAGTTTTGCCCCAATTGTTCATTGATAGCTTTGAGAAATAATATGGTGAAATAGTTAAGATGGTGGATCTAAAAGAACCAGGTCTAAATCCTCCCCTATGGTAACTTGCTAGATAACTTTGTAAGATTTCTCAGCTCTCGGTATTCAGAAAAATTGGAGGAAGATAACTTATTGAACTACTGAAAGAAATATAGCAGATAAATAGTACTTCAGAATCTGTATCTGGGCTTGTCCTTTTATTAGTATGTAATTAATGAATAAGTATTTTAATAGCCATACAATATCATTTCAGGTTTTCTGTGGCTGAATCTGATTGCAATTTAGCCCTTGCCTTAAACAAAAATTACACAAAGGCTTATAGCAGAAGAGGGGCAGCTCGTTTTGTCTTGCGAAATTTTAAGGGTGCCAAAGAAGGTACATGTCACGTATTGTATAATGCATTCCTTTTTTTGTTGTTATGCAAAACCTTTGATATATAAAGTATGTATTTGAGATGATCACTATTACTTTCCATAACTGCTGTTTCTCCAGTTTCAGCATAGAAGAAATTAGCCAATTATTCTTAAAGGTTGCTTAAGAATTTTTCTTGTGTTATTATGGGAAATATCTGTGATTTTAAAAATTTAAACACTGACACAATATGCTTTATCTGACCTTTGTAGGAGATATTACGGGAAATATCTGGTTTTAAAAATTTAAATACTAATGTAATATGCTTTATTTGACATTTGTAGAAGATCGTGATTTGTACCGTATTTTCCGGCGTATAAGACGACTGGGCATATAAGACGACCCCCGACTTTTCCTGTTAAAATATAGGGTTTGGGCTATACTCGCCGTATAAGACTACCCCTCTTCCAACGCACACGAAATAAAAATTAAAAAACATCAACTGGCTCACCCACAATGTAAAAGCAGCTGTGCTAGACCCAAAATGGCCCCTGCAACAAGCAGGAACCTCACACAGCCACAAAAAGCCCAAAAAAAAACAACTTTCACACTTTACACAAACAAAATTCCACATACAGCTTTGTGAGATTTTGTGTGTTTGTGTAGTTAGAGTGAAACACTACAGAAACACACTAAATCTCAGAAAGCTGCACAAATATTATTTTATTTTATTTTATTTTTATTTTTATATGAAAACTAAATTTAAAACTTCCTAAACTTTAAATGGCTAGGTCTAAAAAAGAACAACTAAAAAAAAACCCAATTAACTATTTTTTTTAAAGCTCCCAAAGGGGAAAAAAACTTACCCAATAGAACAGGGGTCTCCAACCTTGGCAACTTTAAGACTTGTAGACTTCAAGTCCCAGAATTCCTCAGCCAGCTTTGTTTTGCTGGCTAAGGAATTCTGGGAGTTGAAGTCCACAACTCCCTGCCTGCTTGATTGCAGGCAGGGAGTTGCTTGCTGATGGAATGGATTCAGGCAAGCGTTGCGACCAGCAGCTAAGGTAAGCAAGCTGGAGGGGGGAAACTTTTTTCCTTTTACATGGCTCTGGCGATCCAAGCTGAGTTGCCTGATTAGCAGATCGTCAGAGCTTGAATCGCCAGAGCCATGTAAAAGGAAAAATGTTTTTTCCTTTTACATGGCTCTGGCGATCCCAGCTGAGTTTCCTGATTAGCAGATCATCAGAGCTTGGATCGCCAGAGCCATGTAAAAGGAAAAAAAATTTCTTTTACATGGCTCTGGCGATCCCAGCTGAGTTGCCTGATTAGCAGATCGCCAGAGCTTGGATCGCCAGAGCCATTTAAGGCTTGTCAGAGCCTTATGGGCTGGTCTGCCTGGTTACAGGAGAACGACACCCGGCGTATAAGACGACCCCTGACTTTTGAGAAGATTTTCATGTGTTAAAAAGTCGTCTTATACGCCGGAAAATATGGTATATAAAAGTTATTTTTTACAGTTTTATCCCATCTTTAGGTAGACGATAGGCTATGTCAGTGATGATGAACCTTTTACAACTTTTTAGAGTGTCCAAACTGTGCACGTGCATGCCCAAACTGAAAGGTGCACGCACGCTAACGTGCATGTGTGAACATGTGCATGCATGCGCATGCACGGACATGCATGAGCGTGCACATGCACGGATATGTGCATGCATGGACATGCGCACATGCACAGCAGAGACCCGAAGACCAGCTGGCCGGCGGGAGGCGGGGCATCCCAACACCGGCAGCGCAGCAAGAGGTGTAAGATCTTTTTCTTTCATGAGCTTCTGTTTCATCGTTTGCAGGGAAACAGAAGCTCACAAAAGAAACGCCATGGAGACCTGACCTGGGGCGATGGCGCACATGACGGTGCAAGCAGAGAGGACTCTGTGTGCTACCTCTGGCACGTGTGCCATAGGTTCGCCATCACGGGGCTATGTTAATAAATTGATAACATAAAATGAACTGTGGCAATGTTCAATCAAAATGAAAACAAGTACATGGAAGACCTGGTTTCTAATATTGTAGAATATAACTATAATACTCTAGACAAATAGAATATATTTCAGGAATGATCTAGTTTATCTAGGGCACAGTTTTTGCACTGAACTATGTCATATTTTATATAAAGAAGCACTACTGGTATCATAACGGAACCTTATATTTTCCTTTCTTTAAAGAATTTCTTATACAATCATAGTTTTTGAAAACTCTACCTTTATATCTTCATGTAGATTATGAAAAGGTTTTGGAATTGGACCCAAACAACTTTGAAGCGAAGAATGAACTTAGGAAAATTGAGCAGGTGAAGAACGTCAACTTAATAAATTTGCCAATGACCATGATTTTGTGTAGCTAAATATGCACCAAAGACAAATTCCTTGTATGTCCAATCACACTTGGCTAATAAAGAATTCTATTGTATTGTATTTGAAATATTGTTTATGTTTTTATATTAGGCTCTCTTGTCAAAAGTAAACTGTCAGGCTGAAGAAACAGATACTTTTCGGAAAGTGGAAATTACAGAAGATGAACTGAAACAATTGGAGGAGGAGCAGTTGAAGCAAAAGGCTATGGCAGAAAAAGATTTGGTAAGCAGTAATGCAAGAATATTTTTCAGATATTTAAATTGGAATGTTTTTGGTCTAACGAATCATTTCTTGGCCAGTGGCAGAATGACCATGCTATTCATGGATTGCATTCTCATAATTGATGACTATATTTGACCAGTATTGTTAAACTGATTTTTTCTGTACTTCCTTTGCATGTCAGTAATTTCAGATGACGCATTGCTTACAATTGATTTATGACATCTCAATTTAACTTATAATTTCAACAGTAACGCTAATTGTGGTATAAGGCAATGTAGTCCAAAACAGCTGGAGACATCATATTGCTTACTGTCTGATACCAAGAATACAGAATTCTATATAGCTGTTTGAAATTTTTCCCCGTGGTCAAATCTTCCTGCTCTACTCTTGCAAATAAAATTATTGAGAAAAATGTTATTTTCAGTAGTACATGAATGCATATATTTAGATTACCACATTATTTATTTCTTTTTCCAAATATAGGGCAACAGATATTTCAAAGAAGGTAAATATGAAATAGCAATAGAATGTTACACACGTGGAATAGCAGCAGATGGCACCAATGCACTTCTTCCAGCAAATAGAGCTATGGCCTATCTAAAAGTTCAAAAGTGAGTTGTGTGAATTTACCATTTTTATGTATGCATTTTTATGAAATTCACTTTAAAATGCATGATTTTTATTAAACCAACCGTTCATTTTATTGGTCATTGGGAATGGCTTACAAGGAGTCCTTGGTGCTCTCTGAGCTTGCTTTTTTTCTTGCAGATGTTTCATTACCCTAACTAGGTAACATCAGTGCTAGTAAGGAGATTTGTCAGAGTGCCAGGCTTCTAGAAATTCCCTGGCATTTTTGGACTTGACCTGGTCTAAGTTTGTCACATTTTTCCAGTTGATTTTCTCTGAAATCAGCCATCATTAGACACATAAACATTAACAACATCTATAGTCTATGCAAAAGAGATGATCAACCAGCCCAAAAGAGAAAAAAAAAGACTCCAGCACCTCTCCACCAGTAATCAGCACTCTGATTAGCATAGATTACCGTATTTTTCGGATTACAAGACGCACCGGAGTATAAAACACATCTACCTTTTTTGGTGTTTTTTTTTTTTATTTTTTAGACAAACACACATACAAACATGCAATGTATTTTCTTTGAACAGAGTATTTGGCTGGTTCACAAATTTAAACAGTGTTTAGTCATTTCAATTAAATTTACAATTTCTATATTTCCTTTTTACCATATTTATTCCTCATCTATTTTTTTAAAAAACCAATATTACCCTTCATCCTCATCTCTAATCTTTATTTTTTTTATTTTTTATTTTACTTCAATTTTATATACCGCCCTTCTCCCTAGGGACTCAGGGCGATGTACAGCCAAGTAAAAACACATAAATACATAATACATAATACATAAATTAAGAACAGATTAAAAGGAAATATCTCAATTTGGCCCAAAATTTAAAAAGACAAACGAATTTAAAATGATTTAAAAGGATTTGTTAGGCCAGCCCGGCTTGTTGGAAAAGGAAAGTTTTAAGGGCACGGCGGAAGGCACGGAGGTCTTGGATTCTCCTTATCTCTGGGGGCAGTTGATTCCAGAGGGTAGGAGCCCCCACAGAGAAGGCCCTCGGTGGCAGAAGGCGGTCTCGAACATAACTAGGTCCTATGCCATGGAGCGCTTTAAAGGTGGTAACCAACACCTTGAAGCGCACCCGGAAGACCACTGGGAGCCAGTGCAGCTCGTGCAGGAGCGGTGTTATGCGGGAGCGCCATGCAGCTCCCGTAATTACACGTGCGGCCGCATTCTGGACCAGTTGGAGCCTCCGGGTGCTCCTCAAGGGGAGCCCCATGTAGAGAGCGTTGCAGTAGTCCAGGCGAGAGGTGACGAGGGCATGAGTGACTGTGCACACGGAATCCCGATCAAGAAAGGGGCGCAACTGGCGAATCAGGCGAACCTGACAAAAGGTCCCCCTGGCAACAGCTGTCAGATGTTCCTCCAAGGACAGGAGGACACCCAGATTGCGCGCCCTCTCCACTGGGGCCAAAGACTCGCCCCCGATAGTCAGCAATGGAGTCAGCTGACTATATCGGGATGCCGGGAACCACAGCCACTCGGTCTTGAAAGGGTTGAGCTTAAGCCTGTTCCTCCCCATCCAGATCCGTACAGCCTCCAGGCACTGGGCCATCACTTCAAGGGCATCGCTGGGGTAGCCTGGGGTGGAGATGTACAGCTGGGTGTCATCAGCGTACTGGTGGTATCTCACCCCAAAGCCACGGATGATCTCGCCCAGCAGCTTCACATAAATGTTGAACAGAAGGGGTGAGAGGACCGACCCTTGTGGCACTCCACAGATGAGAGGCCTCGAGGTCGACCTCTGCCCCCCTGTCAACACAAACTACAACCGGTTGGAGAGAAAGAAGGAGAACCACCGTAACACGGTGCCTCCCATCCCCAACTCTTCCAACCGGTGCAGCATGATACCATGGTCGATGGTATCAAAAGCCGCTGAGAGATCTAATAGGACCAGAACAGAGGAGCAACCCCTGTCCTGAGCCCTCCAGAGATCATCAACCAACGCGACCAATGCCGTTTCCGTGCTGTGCCCAGGCCTGAAACCCGACTGGAACAGATCTAGATAGGACGTTTCCTCCAGGAATTGTGGAAACTGTCGCGCGACCACACTCTCAACAACCTTCGCCACGAAGCGAAGGTTGGAGACAGGACGGTAGTTAGCCAATACTGCCGGGTCCAGGGAGGGCTTCTTGAGAAGAGGCCTCACCACCGCCTCTTTCAAGGCAGCGGGGAAGTGACCCTCACTCAACAAAGCGTTGATAGTTCCCTGGAGCCAGCCTCGTGTGACCTCCCGGGAAGCCAGTACTAACCAGGAGGGACACGGGTCCAGTAAACATGTGGTCGCATTAAGTCTCCCCAAAATCCTGTCCACGTCATCTGGAGTCACAGAATCAAACTCTTCCCAGATAACATTCTCAAGACTATTCCTCTTCATCCTGCCCGGATCTACCCAGTCAGAGTCCAAATCCCGCCGGATCTGAGTGATTTTGTCATACAGATATCGTCCGAAATCCTCAGCCCTGCCCTCCAAGGGGTCCTCCCGCACTCCCGATTGAAGCAGGGAGCGGGTCACTCTGAACAGGGCCGCCGGACGATTCTCTGAGGACGCAATAAGAGCGGAAAAGTAATTAGACTTCGCCGCTTTTATCGCCACTAGGTAGGTCTTAATATACGACCTTACCAGTGTTCGATCAGATTCGGTGAGACTGCCCCTCCAACCGCTCTCCAGGCGTCTTTTCCGGCGCTTCATCTCCCTCAGCTCCTCAGTGAACCAAGGAGCCACGAGGGATCGACACCGGGTCAGAGGCCGCAAAGGCACGACTCGATCTAAGGCTCCGCTAACGGCCCGATCCCAGGCCGCCACCAGGTCCCCAACCGAGTCATGTGCTAGAACCTCAGGAAATGGCCCAAGCTCCATCTGGAACCTCTCAGGATCCATCAGGCGCCTGGGGCAGACCCATCTTGTAGGCTCCGCCTCCCTGCGGCGGGGTGTAGCGGTTCGAAGATCTAGGCGAAGGAGCGAGTGGTCAGACCATGACAAGGGTTCTATGTCTATATCCCCTATAACAAGGCCACTCAACCACTGGCCAGAGACAAAAATCAAGTCCAGAGTGTGACCCCCCCCTGTGGGTGGGGCCATGAACTAACTGGGTCAGGTCCATGGCCGTCATGGAAGCCATGAACTCCCGGGCCATCTCAGATGTCTCACCAGCGGATGGCAGGTTGAAATCACCCATGACCATAAGCCTGGGTGTATCAACTGCCACCGTGGCTATCACGTCGAGTAGCTCGGGCAGGGCCGTTGCCACGCGGCAGGGAGCCAGGTACATGAGCAACAGGCCCATCTGAGCCCCATGACCCCATCTCACAAAGAGGGTTTCACATCCGGCAATCTGTGGCACAGTGGTCTCCCTCGGACCAAGACCTTCTTTAATAATAACCGCCACCCCCCGCCCCTCCCCTGGGCCCTCGGCTGATGGAGCGCTCTGAAGCCTGGTGGGCACATCTCAACCAGGGGGACCCCTCCCTCCGGGCCCAACCAAGTCTCAGTAATAGCTGCCAGGTCCGCTCCCCCCCTCCTGTATAAGATCATGGATGAGGGGGGCCTTATTAACCACAGACCTGGCATTGCATAACATCAGCCGGAGGCCCAGGTCCTGAGTATCTAAGCCATCTAGTATCTGAGTGGAGTCTTGGGGACCGGGGCGCGCAATTGCTCTCAAACAGCGAGTGCGCACCCCCAACACATGATATGGTCCCCTGCTCCCGCCATATCTGCCCCTCCCATTATCTTAATCAAATTCTATTTTTCCCTTCTATTCTATATTATACCCCTTCCCATTGTCATCTATTTTTATATCCATCCTCACATTGGTTAATTATGTAATATTACAGTTGTTTAATACAAATTCAACATTTTAATATAAATCAATTAGTTATATAACTATCTTTTTTGTATATTAATATGAACATGAATATTCCAATTATTTCCATGCAATCCAATTTCTTACAAATCAATTAATTATATTTACCAATAATAATAAACCAAATAATTTCCCCCTCTTATATTACTCATTTTCACATCTTAAACTCTCCCAATAACCCACATAATTTTGCCCATATAATCCACCAAATCACAACTTAATCATTTCTACTTTCATCACAATATATAATTAAAAATATTTAAATCGTTACAATTTCCCTAATTAAATGTAAAAATGTTCTAGCTGTTATCCAAGCTACAACTTAATCCTTTTTACTTTCATCACCATATACCATTAAAGGTATTTCAATTGTTACAGTTTATACTTATTCATATTTCTAAAAAAAAAAAATAAAAAAAGAAAAACTTACAATTGTCTAGAATTCAAAAATACAAAGACAAATATTCCAATTATTATTCATTTCATTTTTACAATCATTTGTAGTTCTAGACTAATATTTCTCACATGTATTTTAGCTGTATATACCTCATCAAATTTACATGTTTTCTTAGTGAAGTTAATTCAGTCACAGTTATATATTTATTTGCCTTTTGTCTTTATTTTTTATTAACATTCACAAAGTACAGCTAGTAAAAATTGAGATTCTTGGGATCCAAGCAAGATCCTGCAACAAATTATTGCTGTTAGCTTCCATTAGAGTATCTTGCCATTCTAGTATCTACAAGATTTTTGTTTCTAAATAATAAATATATATTAGTCCTTCCCTAATTAATCTGTTGAGGTGATTTTACATGCATTCTAGTATATATTTCTCTTTCATACCTCACATAACATGAAAACCTTAATTGGAATAGATGAGAATTACTATATGCTTTAAGAGCCCAAAACTGTATTAAATTATGCTATAATAAGTATTTTTTAAACAAACAACTCTTTATCAATAAGATATGAAGAAGCAGAGGAAGATTGCACTCGAGCTGTGTTATTTGATTCTTCATATTCTAAAGCCTTTGCCAGAAGAGGCACAGCTAGAGCTGCTCTTGGAAAACTAAAAGAAGCTATGCAAGGTACGATTGTATGGCTGTTTAATGTTGTCCCTTTCTCTATCCAACTCTTTGAAGGAAGCAGCTCCAATCCAGCAATAACATTCAGAAATTCAAAATGCTGTGATGTACAGTAGCATCATAATATAGCTTTTTTGAACCAATTTTTTTCTAGTTGCTTTTTAGTAAGAATTAAAGAACAGATAATATTACTATTACGAAAATCCTATAGGTTTAAACAGATAAATGTTTGGGAAGTCCTGTTGAAGTTAGTGAAACTGCCAAGTGCTTACCCTTTATAGATGTAACTGTACCATTGTAAATAAATGTGTATATTGGAAGAAATGCACTTGTATCTTTATAAAAATGTATTGAAAGCCTAAATATTTTTTTTCCTTTGCTAGATTTCAAAAGTGTCCTGAAGCTGGAACCTGGAAATAAGCAAGCAATGAATGAAATAACAAAGCTTAAAAATGTATGTGTGCTTGTGCTTGTGTATTTTAATACTATCTTGCAACAGCAATTAATTGCTTTTAATCTGGATATTTTGTGGGTATTAACCTCTTTAGATTTCCATGGATATTTATTTGACTAATCTTTCCTTTAAGGAGTTAATCGCAAAAGGTTTTTTGTCAGACATTGAATATTTTGGACTACTACAGAATGAATCAGAAATACAAAATCTGGTAAAACCCATTGATAAACCCTTGCATCTGAGATCAGCTGTAAGTAGTATTGGTTTGTTTGTTTAAATATAAATATTTTAAATAGGACAAAAATAGTTAAAAATGTGACATTAAAAGGCGGGAGGAGGGCTTAAGTATTAATGATGAAAGAATGCAAGTCTTATTTTTTTAAAAAAAAAATTAGTGAGGACTTTTTTGTGTGTAGTATTTCTGTAAGGATAAGCAATTTGGCATATTAGTTGAAGTTACTTGTTTCTGACTCCAATCCTGTCTCTCTTATGCATTTACCAGTAATTGAATACTTATAATACTGAGTGAATAGTGTTTAGTAGATAACAAGAGAATGCTTCTTGATAATAAAACTGAATAAATTATCCAGGATTCAATTCCACTTATCCAGTTCAAAGCACACTATTGAATCTAATCCAGAATTTATTTAAGTTAATTGCAAATCCTGGCCACCAATATATCAGTCATAATTCTCTTGGGTTTAGATGAGGGTGGGATCATTAAAATCTATAGGTGGGCAAAACATTTGTTAGAACTAAACAAAGTTATTCAAAAGAGCATGAACATTTTGAACCTAGAGGCTCTTCATCAGGTAAGACATTGCACAAATGGATAGCAAATGAAAAGAAAAAATAAAAATGCATCACAGTATTAAGTCATAAAGTCCACAGTAAAAATACCAATATCAAGTTCTTGGACTCAGTATATTGGGTATTGTTGGTAACAGGTTACACTTGTTGTCAGGAACAAAGCAGATGAGTTGTAGCTGATTTTAAAACCATAGTTGCTAGTCTTCACATGTTGATAAGTCAGGAATTAATAAAGAATATTTGTCACGGTTGAAATGAGGGGTCCGTGGTGCTCTCTGAGCTTGGTTGTTTTCTTGCAGACATTTCATTACCCAAAATGAAACAGCTGCAAGAACACAACCAAGCTCAGAGTGCCTCAATTCAGGAATTGGCCAACACAAAAAAGTGGAATTCTAGTTTATTCTTTCCTGTTGTTCTTTATCTCATTCTCCTTTTTCACATTAAAATAATGATAAACTACCACTTTAATATTATATTCAAGTCACTGAAAAATCAGGCACAAAAAGTATAATTATTTAAAGGAGTGAAATTTCATTTATTTTCTTCTTTCTACCTTTGTGATAAGATTGATAGATTGGATGCAACATTTTCCTTAGATTATTTCTGTGGAAGAGATAGACAAAATATTCTTTGTTTTCATTAAGATATAGTTATTCTTTAGAAATGCTGCTCATTATATGTAAAAGTGTGTTTCTATGTTAATTCATTGCTTGGTTATTTTTGTTTATTTAGAAACCTTTAAGAAGAATAAACATTGAGGAAATCAATAATGATGTGCTAAATGCAAATTTGATGCTCACCAGAGAATCTGAGCCTATTCAATCTGTTTTTGATAACCCAAATGAAATACAGGAATTAATATCTATTAAGAATCAAAATGAAGATTTCTCTTCTCCATCTGGGACTCCCAAAGCAAAGCTGCTGAAAATAGAAGAAATTGGTGATGCTTTGTTGACCGAGTAGGCTTATATATTTTAGAATAGAATATTGTCAAATTTTTATGTTCAAAGGCTTTGTAAAAGAAATATCCTATGCATGAATTTGTGCCAAAAACATATTGTGATTTTCTTACTACTTTTTGTAACCCTTTAAAATTATATGAGTTTAAGAATCTAGTTCAACATTTCAACTGCTTATTTACATATCTACAGTTTGGCAATAGCACTTAGACTTATATACTGCTTCACAGTGCTTTTACAGCCCTCTAAGCGGTTTACAGAGTCAGCCTATTGCCCCCAACAATCTGGGTCCGCGGAAGGATGGAAGGCTGAGTCAACTGCATTTAGCATTTGTTAAACTTAATTACATAAGAAAATTTGCATAATTTGCTACACAATGATTCTAATGGTACTTTTGACATGGTACTAAGTACTCTAAACAGGTAATTGTATATATTTCCTAAGGCAAAATATTTAACCAAACAGAAATTCTCTGTCTTAATATTTTAGATCTGTTATCACAAATGCTGTGAAAGAAAAACCGTCACTTCAGCCTAGTGTTATAAAAAAACAAGCTAAGACAAAAAACTACATTATTTCTTCTGTGTCTGAATTTTCCGTGCCTCCAGTCCCTGTAAATTCTTTCCAACTTGAATCAGATTTCCGAAAATTAAAAAGTTACCCTGATCAATTGTATAGATATTTGAAGGTAAGATAACTCATTCTTTTTATGGTCACTAGTTTCTCCCAAATTTTTGGCATTTAACAAATTTTATTTCAAAAACCAGTTTGGTTTGGTGGTTAAGGCATCAGTTAAAAACTGGGAGGCATCAACTAGAAACTGCCTTAGGCTCAAAACCAGCTGGATGACCTTGGCCAGTAATTCTCTCAGCTGTAAGAAATAAGGAATGGCAAATCACTTCTAAAAACTTGCCAAGAAAGCTGCAGGGGCTTGTCAGAGCAGTTTCCAGAAGTCAAGACTGACTTTGTCAAAGAATGAAATAAGATTGCTTTAGCATGATCTGTTTTTAACAAATCTGTGTTGGCTAGTTGTTATAACTTTATTTGTTTCTAGATGTTCACAAATCTGTTTATTGATTATCTTTTCCCAGTATCTTTTCTGGTATTGATGTTAGGCTGGTCTGTAATTTCCTGGGTCTGGTTTTTTTTTTTCTTCCTTTTTTAAAGATGGGAACCATATCAACTCATTTCCAATCCTCTGGTAGTTTCCTAGTGCTCCAAGATTTTAAAAAAATATAATAAATGGTTCTGAGATAACATCTGCCAGCTCTTTCAGAATTCTGGGATATAATCCATCAGTCCTGGTGATCTATATTCGTCAAGATCAGATGGGTGTTCTCTAAGCATTTTCTTGCTTATTTTAATTTTTATTTCTAATCTGTCTTTTACAGTTATGTTTTTGGTAGGTTCGACTATAATTTTTTTTTTTGTATAAAGACTGATGCAAAGAATGAGTTAAGCAGCTCTGCTTTCTCTCTGCTGCCTGTTACTTCTTTGCCATCTTCTCTCTTTAGTGGACCAACTGTTTCCTTGACTTTTTTTTCTTGTTATTTATATGTTGAAAAACTTTTTTTGTATTATCTTTGACTTTTGTTGCAAGTCTGTTCATTTTGAGCCTTTGCTTTCCTAACTTCATCTTTTCAGATTCGGACTGTCTGCTGATATTCTGCCTTATTTCCTCTTTCCACTTTTTGTACTTATCTTTTTTTTGTCTTTCAGTTTATGAGAGAGATCTTTGTGCAACAATGCTGGTTTCTTGGATTTCTTGTTTTTCTTTTTCAGTGGTATTGTTTTGGACTAGGCTTTAATGATCATATTTTTCAGTGTTTCCTATGCTGCTTGAGTTGTTTTCCCCTTTAGGATTTTTATCCATGAAATTTTGCTTAGGGTCTCTCTGAGTTTTTTAAAATCAGCTCTTTTAAAGTTTAAGATACTGGTTGGACTATTTTCTATTGCTTGTGTTTGCATTTAATTAAATTCCACTTTGATGTGATCACTCGTCCAAGTTTCCAACAACTTCAACTCCCTCTATCATTTCTTCCCTACTAGTAAGAATTAGGTCCAGTATAGTTTTTCCTCTAGTTCCTTCCTCTACTTTTTGGATGACAAAGTTGTCAGCTAAGTTGGTTAGGAATCTGTTCGATCTCCCACTTTGTCTCCCAGTTGACATCAGTTAAAGTCTCCCATTACTACTGTGGTATGTTTCCTACAAACATTTGTTAATTGATTAGCAAAGAGTTCATCTATTTCTTCTGCTTGGCTGTGTGGCCTGTATTAAAATATTGCAATGGATCTAAGAGATAATTAAGTTTCACACATGTATACTCAAAGCAAGCTTCATTTGTTAACGAACTCAGGCTGAGGGGAAGAAAAAATAAAGCTGAATATTTCTCTTCAACTAATCTTGGCTGTAATTGGCTGTAAACTTGGCTGTAATAGAATCTTGAAAGCCGATCTAAATTGTTTTCTGTTCTATCTTACACTAAAGAAAATAAGGTTATTTTGAATTTATTTCTAACAGTTTTTTTTCAATTCATGGACTGTAATCTTTTCTTCAAGTCCATCTTCAATGACTTTTGGTATCTTCTTCAATATTGAAATTAATTCCTTTATACTGAGTATGAATTTAAATCCAGGTATCACATATCTAATTCATGGACAGATCTTTAGGGCTTTATTTCACCACCATGTAAACTATGAAATATGCTTCAGAAAATGGTCAGCATTTTTGTCTGCTAATTATAGGAGTGGGGTGGGGATAGCATTTGTCATTCAAAGGCATTCATTGTGTTTTACTGTGAAAGGTGATTGCCATTATTAACCTTACTGAGAAACTGAGAAGCTCCCAAGGTAATTAATAGTAATCTGCTATAATTTGAATAGTAATTGTTACAATAAATTATGTTTGAATGTTATTTTAGTAGGCATTATGAAAGAATATGAAATCTATTAATAGTAAATGTGGGGTCTGATTTATATATATATTCCTATTATTAGTCTGTTTTTCTTTTGTTCTTCCAAAGCAAATTGATCCTTCCCTTTATCCTAACCTCTTCCAAAAATCATTGGATCCAGAGGTTTTTTGCCAAATCTTGAAAATTCTACAAGATTTTCATACTAAGTAAGTTTAAAGCTATTTTCTCAGATTAATTTACTATTGTATTTTTGATTGGATTGTGCCTTAAATGGACTACCAGTTTTAATATTTTCTGCTGCATATTTCTTAGACAAATTTGTTCTATCTGATATTAGTAATATGCTAATATTAAAATTCATACTATTTGGATAAGAAGCAGGTACAATAAATTATTATGTAATTTAAGATGTTTTAAAAAACAGGGGTAAGAACAGCAAAAGTAGTTCTCATGGTTGAAACACTTCAATGTGACTTACCATTTTTGAATAGAAATCCAGAGATGATCCATAAATTGCCATGGCAATTTTTTCTTCATACATATCTGACAAAATTGTATCCCAGAAATACTCTGAGCTTCTGAATAACATGTTAAATTAAAAAATGAAAGCATTTTTTTCCCCCAGACTTATAACTAGGGGAAGAAGAAGCAACTCATCTCAATATTTTTGTGCTATGTTTCAGAACATTCTGAATTTATAGAAAGCACAAAATTCTACCCAAATATTGTTCTGGAAGGGATCAGTGACTACCTCTTGAAAGATGTTGTAAAGGTCTTCCATCAAATTCTCTCTGCATATTGGAAAAATCAGCAGATACATCAAACTATTAAATACTCTTTTTAATTCAAGATGCCAAAAATTTAAACGAAGAAAATGATTATTCTTCTTGAACTTTTACCAGTTTCTTTGGGAGAGGGGTGGTTACATTTTAAGAGGAAGTTTAATTTATTTAGTGTTGTTTAGTGACCACTTGAAAATCAGTTGCATACTTGTATACAGAGAAAGAAAAGTTTACAGTGACCAAGGAAATAAAGATTAATAGACTATTTAATATAAATGGAATGTTTCCATTATTGTGTATCTATAATATGGAACAGATTTTATTTATTTATTTGTATATTAAATTTCTACACTTAAGTGACTCTGGGCAGTTTAGAACCAGACTCTGGGCAGTTTAGAACCAGACTCTGGGCAGTTTAGAACCAGACTCTGGGCAGTTTAGAACCAGAATGCCATAAAGATAAAATCAGATATTCTCATTTAAACAATTGCAATTTGGGGAATCCATTAGCTAACAGAAAAATACAGAAGGGTCATTTGGTTTTCAGGGCGTGACTTTATTTTCATTTTAACAACAATTATATATTTGATATATAGCTACTTTTAGAGTATGCAGCTGTATGTATTATTTTCAAATATGCATTTTTCATTTTAGTCAATGTTGTGCTTTTTTTATGCCATGAAATATAATTTTTTTTATTATTTTATGCCATAAAAATAATGATAGGTATGAATTAATATCTTATCTTTCAAGGAAAGAAGAGCCTTTACTTATCCTTGAAATTCTGCACAAATTATCAGAATCCAAAAGATTTGATATGGCAGTTATGTTTATGTCAGAATCAGAGAAAAAAAGTAAGTAAAACACATTACTGGGTCATTATTAACATCAACTGGCTTGTTAGTTTAGAGATTAGTATAAATATGACCAGCATGTCACTATTCCAGATATATTAAAAACATTTATTACAACATTTTTTTCCACAGAAACCCTTCTGTCCCTAAAAATATTTGAAAATATTTTTTTCAGAACAAACTATAAAAAGATTTGTTATGTCTGTGAAATTCTTCTCTAGATCCCATATCTCTTTGAGTATCTTTTCTTTCTGTTTAAATTGGAAGATAATAAAGAAACAAAGAACCAAGATGGCCAAGCCATTTTCTGTCTCTTTTCTGTACAATTACATCTGTATAGCAGTGGATTGTATTGTTCATAAAGTCAAGTTTATGTTCATTCCAAGTTTAATATGACTCTTAGTTCAGACTCTTTGCAACTTGTTTATTGTCTTTTTAAATATATAAATTGAATGCTGATATCATTTACTAAATGCTAAATCTATTTTTAATTTAAACAATGTAATACCGGATTTCTCTTTCATTATAGCTGTACGTTGTTTATTTGATCATTTGGAACAATCTCATTTGGAAGATTCTCCTATTAAGCAACTCAAGATAAAATATAGCATTTAATTTAAACACTTTTTATATCTCTCTATACAGCAGATTATATACTGCTTTGGAAGGACAGTTCCATATAGATGATTATGATAGAGAATTTCAAGTTCATTGAGCTTTTTTGTTATGAGTTGATCCACCATGTTATGCCTGAATCTTATTTAATTTTTCATTTTGAACATTCTGTAGAAATAAGATTGATAGCTGTTAAAATATTTATCAAATTCCATTTTTTACTAGTTGTGTGTTAAAAATTATATATTTTTATTCATATAAATAAATTCACAAATGTTAAATTATTTCAATCTTTTTTCTTATTTGCAATACTTCCAGTATTTCTTGGCAGAATTTCAAGCTTAGACAAGTGAAAAATCACTTTAAAAAAAAAACTGACATCTAATGTTTCTCTTATTTTTATTATTTAGTCTTGGTATCTTTTAAGAACATTTGCTTGCTGTTAAAATTTCACTAATTATGATTTTGACTGTCAGTTTCTTCTTTGAAGACAGAACCACTATCTATACTTAATTGTAATGCTTTAGGTGTATATTCCTTTAATAAGGAATAAGATTTTAGTTCTGAGTGCCATGATAGGATGAGCTACAATAGAGAGAATTACTTTTTAAAATATATACAATCATGGCCGTAAATGTTGGCATCCCTTTTCCAGAAAATGAAGTATTTCTCACAGAAAAGTATTGCAGTAACACATGTTTTGCTATACACATGTTTATTCCCTTTGTGTGTATTGGAACAAAACCAAAAAAGGGAGGAAAAAAAGCAAATTGGACATAATGTCACAGAAAACTCCAAAAATGGGCTGGACAAAATCATTGGCATCCTTTCAAAATTGTGGATAAATAAAATTGTTTCAAGCATGTGATGCTCCTTTAAACTCACCTGGGGCAAGTAACAGGTGTGGGCAATATAAAACTCACACCTGAAAGCAGATAAAAAGGAGAGAAGTTCACTTAGTCTTTGCATTGTGTGTCTGTGTGTGCCACACTAAGCATGGACAACAGAAAGAAGAGAACTGTCTGAGGACTTGAGAACCAAAATTGTGGAAAAATATCACCAATCTCAAGGTTACAAGTCCATCGCCAGAGATCTAGATTTGCCTTTGTCCACAGTGCGCAACATTATCCAGAAGTTTGCAACCCATGGCACTGTAGCTAATCTCCCTGGACGTGGACAGAAGAGAAAAATTGATGAAAGGTGCCAACGCAGGATAGTCCGGATGGTGGATAAGCAGCCCCAAACAAGTTCCAAAGCAATTCAAGCTGTCCTGCAGGCTCAGGGAGTATCAGTGTCAGCGCGAATTATCCGTCGACATTTAAATGAAATGAAACGCTGTGGCAGGAGACCCAGGAGGACCCCACTGCTGACACAGAGACATAAAAAAGCAAGACTACAGTTTGCCAACATGTACTTGAGTAAGCCAAAATCCTTCTGGGCAAACGTCTTGTGGACAGATGAGACCAAGATAGAGCTTTTTGGTAAAACACATCATTCTACTGTTTACCGCAAACGGAATGAGGCCTACAAAGAAAAGAACACAGTACCTACAGTGAAATATGGTGGACGTTCACTGATGTTTTGGGGTTGTTTTTCTGCCTCTGGCACTGGGTGCCTTGAATGTGTGCAAGGCATCATGAAATCTGAGGATTACCAACGGATTTTGGGTCACACTGTAGAGCCCAGTGTCAGAAAGCTGGGTTTGCGTTGGAGATCTTGGGTCTTCCAGCAGGACAATGACCCCAAACATACGTCAAAAAGCACCCAGAAATGGATGGCAACAAAGCGCTGGAGAGTTCTGAAGTGGCCAGCAATGAGTCCAGATCTCAATCCCATTGAACACATGTGGAGAGATCTTAAAATTGCTGTTGGGAAGAGGCGCCCTTCCAATAAGAGAGACCTGGAGCTGGAGCAGTTTGCAAAGGAAGAGTGGTCCAAAATTCCGGGTGAGAGGTGTAAGAAGCTTATTGATAGTTATCGGAAGCGACTGATTTCAGTTATTTATTCCAAAGGGTTGCAACCAAATATTAAGTAAAGGGTGCCAATCAGGGTGGATTTAGTAAGGCTTGATTTAAATCATAGTTTTCTACATAAAGACTAATTCTTACTGGTATAACTTTAATATGCAAATAGATGAAGATTTTTAGAATAACAACTTTTCATATTAGTTTTTTTATCCCCAGTTTAATAGGTTAATCATTCATATTTGGACAACTTTTCTGTTGTACTTAGGAAGGAGAAAAATAATCATTACCTTAATAATAACAATTTAAATAGATTTATTCAACTGAAATAATAACATTACAGCATATGTTATTTGCTTAAACAAACATCCATGTTTGTTAACTAATTTGGCTAAACAAAATATATATATTTTAAGAAACTTAGACTGTCAGCCCAGCCTACACATGAAAAACTTAAATACTATCCTCTGTAGCTCACTTGTCATCTTCATCTTCTTCTTTGTTCATAATCTGGAAAAGAAAAACAAGCTTTCCTGCTTTATCGGGTCCCAAACGATTTCTCAATTTAGAATTAATGAGTCCAAAGGAAGAGAATATTCTTTCAACGCCTGCAGAAGAAGCTACTGCTGTTAAAAGTGAAATCATTACTTGAACAGTCTCTAAATCCAAGTGCTTAAGTGACTTCCACCAGTTCACTGGTGTGACTTTCTTTAAAATATCTTCAGCAAACATATATTTCTTGAATGGTTCCCCCTTAGCTTTGCAGTTTATTATAGTTGGCATTACAGATGGATGATTGCTGGATATCCATGTCATAGCTAACTCCTCTTCCTCAGCACTTAAGTTTTGACCCTGATACTGGATATTGACAATACTTGCCAAAAAATGAGCTGGAGACAGTACTTGTCCCATTCGTTTTTTTAATGCTTGTAATTTAATTCTGTCCATGTGTAGTTCTGTTTTTAAGTGTTCACTCAGTTCCTTCCAAATTTCAACAGCATCAGCAATAAAACAGCTATTTTTCTGTATTTTGTTTAAAGCTTCAGAGATGGGTTTCAGGATGCTCAGCATATGTTCAACATTTCTCTTAAACCCAATGTTGAAGATTTTGGCCGTGACAGTGCCATCTATTTTATCTCGATTTTCTTCACAAACTGTCATTAGAATAGGCCAGTTCTTAATATACTGCTCAAAACAGTCCACCACAGAGTTCCATCTAACATCTTGTGGGAGCGTTAGCTTGGTTCCACCCATCCTTTTCAGAGCTGCTGCAGCAAAATGATTGTTACGGAAGTATTTAGCAATTTCAACAACATTAGTCTTTATTTCTGGAACACTTAAGTCTTTGGCTAAGAGGTGCAGCAAATGAGCACTGCAACCATATGTTATTGTTATGGAAGGAGGAAATTAAGAGACATCCCTTTGGGCAGACAGAGTCAGCTTTATTATTGCAATAAGGTTCAGACAGGTATTGCTACCTAAAGAATCTGAGCAAAGTATAAAATGAAGACCTCAGTCTTTATACATTTTCAAACAAAGGATTCTGTTAACTCAGCAATTCATATGGTCATATACATTTGTCATTTTTAATTGACACTTCCTAATTTCTTTTTCATTTTATTCTCTGCCAACATTCATAATTCTTCATGTAGATTACTGAAGCATAGATTCAAATTATCTCTTGTTGATACAACAATATGGTCATCCTTGTCTCTCTGACCTTTAAAGTGTAAATCACCAAAGTGCTTGTATCTCTGACAACTGAGGAGCCTCTCCTCACTGGTTCTACATCAAAGAAGGAATGTATCTGCCTTTTATTTCAACTGGATACATTTGCAAGCACAATTTCTCTTCTACAATACTATGAACAAAGAGGGCCCTTCAGTGATCATCTAGCTGGACCCGCTTTTCCTACTTTATTCCCCCCTCTGAAAGTTTTTCAATGCAGAAACTTTCACTACTTTCTTACAAATGTAACTACTGAGTATACAAAGTTCCAATAAATAAATCTACAATATATAAATTCTAACAAAATATAAGTAATAAAGGCATATAACAAGGTATACATGATTGTGTTTACTCTCTTGATTCTTAGGGAGATTCTCTCCGTCTTTCCACCGGTCCCATTTCCACATATGGTTCTACCTCAGAATCTGTAGGTCCTTCCATAGTATAGGGACCAAGCTGATTAAGGAAATGTTCTGTCAAAGCTAGTTCCTTCTCAACTTGAATCTCCTTTACTGCTTTTATTGATAGTTGTCTGAGTATTGGGATCACACATGGGATGAATGCTAGACCAGCTATCGCACATATGAACAAAAATATCATTTGTTTAATCCATCCAGAACCTGGCACCCAAGAAAACCACATATCTGATGTCTGTAATCTGATGTCTTATTATTGGTTGAGAATAATCGAGAT